CTGAACCTCTGGCTTTGATACTTTGTGAGCCACTAAGCCAGAATAAGTATGCAAACCAGACATCTCAGTCAAAATCCTGTATCTGTATATTTGTATAACCACCTGTGATTCCTGACACAAGAATCCACAGCAGGATCATCTCTTTTTTCCAGTGTGAATGAAACCTTATAAATAAATAATAATTCATATTATTATTATTATTATTATACAGGATTTATATAGTGCAGTTTGTTCAGTGCTCTGCAAAATAAAGGGAGACAGAAGAGGTACAATACAATGCAAGAAAAGAGCTTTCAATCTACTGAAGCTTTCAGAAATGAAATCCTCTGTGCTATGTAAACATACTGTCAACTAGACATGCGAACAACAACAAAAATTGTCTCCAGACAAAACAAATGAAAACAAAAAATGTTTTCATTCATTTCATTAAAAGAGCCTCCGAATCCGAAACCACACACTGAGACCGCAGAACGAGCGGCGGCCATCATTTTGGAGTAGATGTTCCAAAGATGTTCCTGGTATACACCAAGATTTTCTAGCGCCGCCATCTTGGTGTCTACCAAGATCTACTCCAAAACGGCGGCACGCATTCACAGAATACACCAGCGGCCGATCTGGCCACCGCTCGTTCAGCGTGTGATGTCATGCGCTCCTCCAAGATGGCAGCGGGCACGCACAGGACATAATGACGGGCAATATGGCCACCGGCGTCTTCTGAAAACAAATTTATTTATGTCCGAATATTGTTTTCGTATATTCGGACATATATATTAAATTCGTTATTTCGGATTCGGACGAACCGCCGAATCAACTGATTTTCGTTGATTTGCAGGTTCGTCCGAATCTGAATGCACATGTCTACTGTCAGCTGCTGGGTGATGGGTATGATGTATTTGTTCACCATTGCTTATTGTCTGTCTATCTATCTATCTATCTATCTATCTATCTATCTATCTATCTATCTATCTATCTATCAATGTATCTATGTATCTATTAGACATGTAACACTGCAAAAAAAATTGTTTTGTTTAATTTCTGATCAATTCGGATTTTTATTTCTTTCGTTTTTCGGAATTCAGATCCAAAATTCGATTTGGTTTGTTATCAGATTTCGTATCTGTCCGAATTGTGGTTTCGAAAAGATCCAAAACAGGAAGTCACATGACCGTGCCTGTAATGCAACCCCAACAGCCAAAAAAACCCCATCTGATTGGCCAGAGAACAGTCACATGTGCAATTAAATGCCCATTTTGAACTAAATTCTGACGGATTTGAATTTCTGACGGAACATTTGTATTCGTTCGCATTTAGACCTGTTCAAATTCGGTAATTTGGGTGCATCTGAATGTGCGAATTTAACAAAATCTGTGATCGTATCTATCTATCTATCTATCTATCTATCTATCTATCTATCTATTTATCTATCTATCTATTTATCTATGAATGTCTATGTATCTGTGTATCTGCATACGAATGTGTATATGTATCTATATCAATGTCTATGTATGTATCTATATACCTACATGAATGTATGTATCTATGAATGTATCCATATATGAATGTCTATGTATCTATCTATCTATCTATGAATGTATCTATCTATAAATAGATAGATACATAGACATTCATATATGGATACATTCATAGATACATAGATACATTCATATAAATAGATAGATACATACATATATACATACATAGACATTCATATCTATCTATCTATCTATCTATCTATCTATCTATCTATCTATGTATCTATCTATCTATAAATATATCTATCTATATATGAATGTCTATGTATGTATATATGTATGTATCTATCTATTTATATGAATGTATCTATTATGTGTCTATGAATGTATGTATGTATGTATGTATGTATCTATGAATGGATGAATGTCTATGTATCTATATATCTATCTATGAATGTATCTATCTCTCTATAAATATATATCTAATATATGAATGTCTATGTATATATTTATATATAAATGTCTACGTATATATGTATTTATCTGTCTATGAATGTATCTATGTATCTATGAATATATTTATATACATGTGTATGTATGTACTGTATCTATCTATTTATGAATTTCTTTGTATGTATGTATCTATCTGTATCCATCTAGATATGAGTGTCTATGTATATATGTATATATGAATTTCTATGTATGTATCTGTATCCATGTAGATATGAATGTCTACGTATCTATGTATATATGAATGTCAATGTATGTATGTATGTATGTATGTATATATCTATGAATTTATCCAAATATATATATATTTTTGTTTTATATGAATCTATCTATCTATCTATCTATCTATCTATCTATCTATCTATCTATCTATCTATCTATCTATCTATCTATCTATGTGTGTGTCTTACTCTCTGTCAGTCACATTATTGCAGAGCAGGCTATCTGCACCAGGCAGAGTTCTGCAGATAGCAGGCTGTGATAGCCCCATGGTGAGTGCCCAGTGTCCGGGGCTACCTGTGTGAATCAGGTTTCTGTCAGCGATTAGGAGACTTGATTGGGGAAATAAGAGGCTCAGTGATACCTCTGATAATGAGCTGTGGCTGCAGGCTGGCTCCTCTCCTCCTGTACAGACAGACAGCTAGCGGCTGGATCACATTTCCTCTCTGTCTGCTCCAGCAACTTTCCATGCCCTGCAAACCCACGATGGAGCACCCAAGCCCTGTCCTGTCATTCACAAAGTGGGTCACTATACAGGACCACAAGT